CCGAGGAGGCCTGATTCATCATTTGCAGAGATTTGAGTTACAAAGAGAAATACCACCCCCATCCACCCCCCCCCCCCCATAGATGCAGGTTTAACATTGTGACATCCAGTACAATCGCTGAGAATGCCTTTCAAGGAAAACATGCTGCTGTGTGAACCCAGTGGGCAGACGCAGAAACAGGAAGGCTGAGATTAGAGTCGGCATTACAGTTCTTTTGATGTTTTCTGAGCCAACTAGGGAAACCGGTGAGGCTCTGAGAGAGCTGATCAAAGGTACCTCTGCAGGTTCAAATTAACAGGAGTTGGTGAATCAGGGCAGCACCTGCCTGTGAATAGAAACACATTTCACCAAATAAAGTTAATCTTTTAGTCGAGCTTGGAGGTGGCAGTTCTTTTATAAAACTTATATAGGCCAAGTTTATTCCTGCTGTATCTTAGGTCTCCAAAGGGAAAGAATGCTCTGCTTTATTTTGTTCACAAAGAGGTGTTTATTTATTTTAAAGCTGATCTTTGCCCCGTGCTGTATTTCATGTAAGACCTTTGGCTCTAATTGACATACATTGTTTTAGAAAAGGTGGCTGTTTTGGGGTTGGAGTTAAAGAGTGGGAAGGCATTCCCATATATCTTTACTTTCCTTTTAAAATTACAACTGTTGTTCAGTTAAACTATACCCTTGTCCCAGAGCAATCCTTAATCTCTATTTGGCAAAATATAGCTTAAAAGACAGAGGAAGTTGGAAGGAGCAGCACAGAGTAACTATACATACTAGGATAAGCCTAAAGATTCTCAATCAAAATAAAAAAGAGAAGTGTGCTAAAAATGGTAGTAGCCCGAGGTTGCAGATTCAAAAAGCCACTAAGGGAAGGGAAATTAAATACATTGAATACCAGCTTAAGTTTAAGAATTACACATAGAAGCTACAAAACATTTCTTGGCATTGCAGAGTTCATTATTTCAGGCCCTGGCTGGCTAGCCCTAAGGCTTAGGACACCAGGAGGATGTGTCAGATCCTGCAAGTCTCCTGAGAAGCAAAAGTGGCCAAAGGGAATGGAATGGGCAAGGGGAGGATGGTTAATAAACAGCAGAACGGTAAACTGAGGTACTTGGAAGATAAAACATGTATATTATGATCATCTGCCAAAGCAACCACCAAATCCTTACGGAACAGGGTAATAAAAGTGGGATGGTTCCAAACTGTTTCATTTCAGGCATAGTATGTGGAAAGTGTAAGCTTACAGAATCACCCCATGGATGTGGGCTCTATTGCAGCTGGTAACCAGACAAGCTGAACATTGATGAATCTGTTTCCTTAGATACACAATGGGAGTAGCATCTCATCAGGGTTGTGAGGATTAAATGAGATATGCACATAAAATGTTCAATTAATATAATATAGAGTATAAAATATTACATGTTATATATTGTCCATTTCAAATTAATCTAACATTTTCATTTCAGTATGGGTTTACAGATGACACCTGATAACTTCATAATGGGAAGGACTGTCGATTAGATAATTTAAAACACATGGTGTTCCATATTGTGGAGATTTACTATATCCAAAGGCTGGGGGGAGGAAATGTTAGTGTCATACACACTGGCTTTTCACACAATCATTTAAGCAATCAAATTTCAAAGCAAAAAAATCATTGGGAAGAAATTTAAAGCAACAGAATTGTAACGCTCTCCTCTTAATTGGCCCAAGGAGACCTAACACTAGATCTCTGAGCGTTGCTTTTTAACTCTCCAGTTTCCAGAGATAAAGTTTATTTTTTGGTTTGATACAAATGCATGTTACCTCCCTGCAGTGTTAGATCTGTTAGTGGCTTGGCTTTACATATTATATGGACTACTAGTATATGTATACTATAGGGTAATCTCAGTGCCACTTTCAAACTGTTTAACCTAATTGGATAAGTTAACTTGGGTGATAATTTTACAGCAAATTACATTTCTTTCACAAAGATGCCCCAACAAAAAGACTGCAAAAACAAAAATTTTGTCTGGAAAGAGACTCCTAATATTCTACTTATGAAGAGAAACAATGGCTGAAGAATTATTTAGGGTAGTGGTTCCCAAACCTGCCTATGCATTAGCATCACCAAAGGAGTTTTTCAAAATTTCTAAACCCATCCCATAGCTTTTGTGGGGGTTTTGGAAAGTTTTCCAGGTGATTCCAATGTGCAGATAAGTAAACAAATACAAATTATCCAATCTGCAAAGAGAACCAAGATTGAAGAAAAACAGAACCTCAGAGGCATGTAGGAGAATCTCAAGTGATCTAATATAAACCTACTGGAATTCTAGGAGAAAACGGGGGGGGGGGGGGGGGGGGGATGGGGGGGGATGAAGAAATGGCCACAACTTTCCAAACGTAAACTTACTGATCCAAGCAGCTCAACAAACCTTCAGCATTGTACTGAAATACGATAATAAAAGAGCCAGAGAAAAAGACATTACATACAAGAGAAGAATGATACAAAAGACAACTGTTGTTTCATCAAAAACAGTGGAAGCCAGCCCTGGCCAGTGTGGCTGTTTGTTAAATGATGTTCCATCCATGGAGAGGTTGTTGTTCAATTCTGGGTCAGGGCACATGGGGGGTGTTTCTGGCTGGATCCCTAGTAGGAGGCATGTAAGAGGCAGCCAATCAATGTTTCTCTCTCCCTCTCCCTTCCTCTCTCTAAAAATCAATAAAAACATTAATATTTTTAATAAAAACATATTAAGAAACAATGTAAGCCCGAAGATAATAGATGTAATAATGAAAAATAGAAAAAGATTATCTACCCCTAATTCTATCTTTAATGAAACTACCCTTAAAAGATAAAATATTTTCAATGAACAAAAACACAATTTGTCACCACAAGCCCACACAAGTCTCAAGAAATTCCTTTAAGCTGAAGCAAAATGACATGTCATTTGGACTGACACAAATGTAGAACCTCAAAAATGGTAAATATTTAGCAAATACAAAAGACTATATGTACACTCTTTTTTCTTTTTGTAATACATTTAACTGTTTAAAGGAAAAATTATAACATTGCCCTGTTGGATTTATCATGTAGCCATAATATATATCAAACACAAAGGAAAATAGGAGAGAATGAATGGAACTATACTGTTGGAAGGTTATATATGAAGTTGTATATTAATGCTAAGTAGATTGTAATAAGTTAAAGATATATATATTGTAATCCCAGAGCAACCACTATAGTCAACTGTAATTGAACAAAAATTTAAAAAGCTAAAGTATAGTTTGTAAAACAATAGAAAAGGTAAAACCAAAATACTAAAAATATTCATGTAACCCAAAAGGTAGGAAGAGTAACAGAGGAAAAAAAAACCCCAAATGGTAAATAAATCCAAACATATCAGTAATTACAGAAATGTAAATCAACTGAAAACACCAAGAAAAAAAGGCAGATTAGGCTAAATAAAAAAGACCCAAATCTACACTCTCTAAAAGGGATGAACTTTAAACAAAATAGGTTAAAAATAAGCAAATGAAAAGATATACAAATGTTCAATGCAAATACTAAGCATAAAAATAACTTCTACTTGGTTTAGAGTTAAAATTTTTAAAATATATTTCTTTCCAATTACATTTATTAAAAAAATTACATTTATTATCCATCAACTTCAAGAGGGAAAAAATAAAACAGGCAATTTGGGGTGATCTTTTTCTTAAACCTTTGAGTTTCATCTAACCCTTGACATTTTCTTTAATCACTCATATGGCTTCTTCTCTCCCCTTTCTGGTATGATTCATAAAACATCTTAACTGGGAAAGCCTTTTATGATTTGCTGGTCTCCCTTATCTGTACTCAAAGTCTTTCAGCCTTTGATCTAGCTATTAGAGCAAGTAATGATTCTCAATCACCTCTATCTCATTTTTATTTGTGTTTATTCTGTTCCTTTTATATACTCTTATTTCAGTTTTGGTTTTATCTACTTATATGACCCTGAGGTGGGATCAGCCCACTTGAGGCTGATGTGCCCTTCCAAACTGCCCTTACCAGGTTACAGCAGCACACCTTTTCCTCACCTATTTTTCTTACACCTCCTGGTTGTAAGTTCTTTTCTTCCATTTTCAAAAAGTCTTGGAGTTTAGCTCTTTTTACAGTAGGGACTTTCTAGTTTCAAAATTAGGCAAACTTAAATTTGGAAGAATTTTTCTATATTCTTTAAACAATGATGAAGCTCTGATGCTTCCTCAAACTTAGACGAATCATAGCTGGGTCAGGGCTAGAAAAAAACATGAGTGTCATAACAAAGAAACCTCATACTAAGCATGACTACAAAGAATGGTTTTGTGGCATGTGACAAATCTGCTCAACCGTAAGTGAAAGAAACACCACCAATTCCCTTCTGGCCATCCTGGCTTCATAAATAAAGTCTAGCCCAACAAACTCCGCTTGTGTTTGGCACCATTTTCTCACAAACTGTGACCTTAGAAAATAAACCTAGTTAACAGCCCCACAAAAGATAGAACCTGTTTTAATCACTTTAGAAAATGTTTTAAAAGGTGATTTCTGTACAAATAATGCTGTCTTTGAATGTACACTCCTTATCTAACTGTACCAAAGAATAAAGTTTAAAGGGTAACATGAAAAAGGGGTAATATTAAGAGACTGCTTAGGTTGTTTACTTCTGGAAACTTAAGCCATTATCAGGTGCTTTGAGACCTTTCTTTTCAACACTGGCCATGTCTTAAAATATGCAGGACAGATTACCAAGGGATTGAGTGGTTAACTAAAGTCTGATGGAATGATTCATTTCAATTTGCCCTGCTTTAAGAAAAGCTTTATGCCTCCTATCAAGAGTAAATATCACACATCCTGTTTATACATACTGGCTTATTGTCCAAAGTTCTTCAAAGAGCTGGTGACACCCCCCAACTCACACTCAACCCACCCCCCAACTTCCTCTCATTGGTGTGATATAGTCCTACTCACTTTAAAGCACCTCCCTCAACAAAACAGTCTGTGTTACAGTAAATTTTAAACAAAATACTTTATTGTGTCATGAAAAAAGGCATCAATCAACTAGATTCATACTTGTTTGAAAAAAATTTGAAAATTTATTAGACAGTATGTGGACATCCTGTTCCACATGGGAATGAGAAGATGCTATAGGTTCTCTAAGTATTGCACAGTCTGAAAAAACACCAACAAAAAAAAGGGGAGGGGGGAATCACATAATCTTGGGAACCATATCACATTATGAATAATCTACCAAGAAACATTAAAAAAAAAAAAAAAACCTTTGTTTCTACAGTAGCTTTGAGTTTATAGTTGTTGGAATGACTGTATTCCATTGAAGACATCTCAGTAACAGGAAGCTTCATTTTAACAATCCCATGTGCAAATATTAATAAAAAAATATATAAAATAATGCAATTTATCTCTTGCCATCACCCCGGCAATCATAACATTTGTTAGAACTGTTTTGCTTGAAAATAGTTAAGCTGTAAGTTTTGCCTGAAGCTCCATTTCTGCAGCCCGTTTGAGTGCAACATCCACTAGAAGCTGAAATCCACTAAAATCTTGGTTGAGGTCCGGTGGAGTAGGAGGAGGAGTGTTGAAAAGACCACTTTGTGTATTTGTGCTTGGTCCAGATTTACACGTGTCCTCTGGGTACATGAGGGAGGTGTCTGTAAAGTTGCTGGCTGCTATCTGCTGTATATCTGTGTTTTGTCCCACACCAACTGGCTGACAGAGAGAGAAAGGCACATCTTTCAATGCAGTCACAGTGGTATGACAGATCACTGATGGACGAGCCAGAATTGATCCCGGAGACGACGGCTTAGGGGACAGTGGCCTCCCTAGGGCTGGGTTTGGTCCAGCAGGACAGGAATGAAATGGGCTCTCCTCTAGAGCTGGCATGAAGTTTTTGATGCCCATTGCTGACTCCACAGAGCTCACTTCAGATATCTTGGCCCCACGGCGGGAAATTGTGAACTGATTTGGATCTTTGCCATCCTTTCTCAGCATGTCAGGGAGGAGCCTTCGGCGGGCGTTGATGAACCAGTTACAGACCTGAAATGATTTGGGTATGCTTTAACACTCAGCATACATGTTCTGAGAACCTTCCATAGATGCTTAATTATCTCTTTGCATTTAAGAAGACATGAAAAGACTTATCGGAACTTACAAAGTTATTCCAACGTATTTGAGCCTAGACAAGAAAAAAAACTGCTTCCTATCATAAACCTGCTTCTCTCCAATACAAATTCCCTTGTCTCATCATCCATAAACCTTTTCAGGAGGAAAATAAAGGTATAAATTCTCAAATGTCTAAAAGTTACTTTAGAGAAGGAGGTTTACCTTTTGACTCCCCCATATTAACCGATTACCTACTGCCCAGCATTGAAGTTAATCAACTACAGGAAAATCTTTCCTGTATGAAAAGGGCCACTCCCCCAAGTTACTGATTTTTCTCAGTTCAAATCACTGTGTCAACAGACAGACATGAATTACCTCACTGAGGTCTGTCCTTGTTTAAATATCAAACCAGTTTCCTGGGTAATAGAGTAAGATTTAACCTCCTTTTTATGATTGTTGCACAAAGGAAGGCTCTTTTAGGCATTAAAGGAAATGTTATTTGACAGATGACTGTCAAGTGTTTGTTTCTCTAAATAGCCAGTTATTAGCTATCAGCACTAGAAAGTTTAAGAGATATCCCCCACCCCAAGCTTTTGAGTCAGGAGGCACTTAATGACTTGACATACAGGAATGCTATAAAATGACTTTAGGGGGAAAAGAAAGAAACCTGAGTGCATATACCACGTTTTTTTTCCCCACCTGTAGTGTAGATAGACGTGTTTGCTGGGACAGCAATGCTTTTTCTTGCTCTGAGGGATAGGCATTGTATCGGTGCTCATACAGCCAATCTCGGAGAATCTGCACAGATTCCTTGGGCAGGTTGCCCCTTCTCCGTCTCTTGCCTGAGCCGGCAGAAGAGGAAAGGTCCAAGGGGATGTCCATGCTGTCATCATCCTCGGTCTCACTGCCGGAGGCGACAACACCTAGGAAAGGACAAAGGCCAGCCGTCAACCGGTTTCATCAGCAGAGCACCTAATGCAAAACTCATCTCTTTTGACCATTCAGTGTAAACATGTTTTCTCAACTACTGAGAGGCAGGGGAAGGACCAGTGAGTGTTTTCTGTCCTGAAATACCAGAGCACATGTAAAGGCTCCAGAGTAATTTGACTAGAGGCACATTCTAGATTCTCAACCAGTCGTCGGATGCCCTTTCGTGCCCACTCCGCTAGGATTCAACTTTTCACATTCCTTTGGAATGATCCTCAGAAAAGTCCTTCTTGTAATCCAACAGAGGAGACAAAGCCCCACCCCAAGTGAATAACAGCTTGCCACCTGTGCATCAGGAAAGGTGCTACAACAGATGGAATGTGTCTAACAACCTCTTTGAAGTCATTGCTAATCTAGGATAAATCTAATGAGTGTTCTATTGTACATTTTAAATGCTATTCTTCCTTCTTCCACTGAAGGTTTGAAATAAAAAGGGAATATCTGTACATTTCTTTCACTGATATGAGGGAAAATCACACTCTTAACCCAGTTAGTATTCTAAAGATAAAATGCATGTCTAAAGTTTCTGCCAATTCCATGGTCATTTCTTTTTCATGGCTCCTTACATTTATTCAACACCACTTTTAATGGCCAGTACTGGTCGCTATTTAGTAAATACAAACAACCAATGAAGTTTTTAGTGTTGTTGCACAAAAAATATTTTTCTATTAGTAAAAGGTCAGAGATGCCTTAACTGAATAAAAATTTAAATTTCATATAAATTTCTACTGCCAGATTAATCTGAACCTAGAACAGGAGGTATCAATAAGCAGAGTTGTCTTAATTATATGACAAGAAAACAACAACCCTGAATATGCAATCCCAAAGGAAAATCTCTTGTCTGTAAGTACTTTAATCCCACCAGAAATTTTAAGAATTCACACACCATTAAAGGATATTCAAATCACACACAGACTGAGTTCAATAAAAATTCAGACCTGGCCCTTTTAGACATTTAAACATAATTTAGAACTTTATACGCTATTAAACACACACACATACACCCACGCGCGCGCACACACACACATACACCCACGCGCACACCCCCACAACAACACAAAGAACATGGGCAACTCTTAGAATGTATTGATCTAAAATTTTAAGGATATAAATGAGTCATAAACTAGTGCATGCTTGAACCTAACAGTACTTCTACATAAAGAAAATTTATTAAACTGACACAAAATTTAAAGTTAGGCATTCTTAACTTTGTTGATGCAAACTTAATTGAGTGGTTTGCCTGGATAGGAAATAAAAACAGAATATTCCTCACAGTGATAAACCACTCAATGTACTTGAGGATTTTTTTTTTTAATATATTTTATTGATTTTTCACAGAGACGAAGGGAGAGAGATAGAGAGAGTTAGAAACATCGATGAGAGAGAAACATCGATCAGCTGCCTCTTGCACATCCCCCACCGGGGATGTGCCCGCAACCCAGGTACATGCCCTTGACCGGAATCGAACCCGGGACCTCTCAGTCCGCAGGCTGACGCTCTATCCACTGAGCCAAACCGGTTTCAGCTGTACTTGAGGATTTTTTTAAAAAACACACACATCCTTTTAAAGCCTTTTAACACAATGAAACTCAAAGAATTATCCATTCAAAGGTTTGTTGATGAGATACTCCCCAGTTAGTTGAGTCTGACTTTATTTGGTGACACATGGTCAGTTTTGGACCGCAGGGGGCAGAAGGTATTGGCCAGTGTCCACAGAAAAGGCAGGACCTTCCTAAGACCAAGTAAACCAAGTTCTAACAAAAGAGCAGGATGAGTAACAAAAACCCACACCTGAAACCTACATGATCATATTGACCAATGTCGCCCCAATAAATTTAATTTAAAAAAAAAGGAGCAGAATGAACTTGCAAATTCACTTTAGCTCAAGCCTTATTAAACAGCCATCAATAAACCAATCACAGAAGAATCCTAAATGTTAACCCCATGTATTTGATGTTTCCCTTCCCAGAAGCTTTCATTAAACTGCTTTATTTTTTTTAAACTTATTTATTGATTTTAGAGAGATAGAAAGGGGGAGAAAGAGAGAAACATTGATTTGTTGTTCCACTTATTTATGCATTCCTTGGTTGATTCTTGTATATGGCCTGGCCAGGGATGGAACCCCAAAACCTTGTGGAGCATGGGGACGACACTCTAACCAACTGAGCTACCCACCCCCAAAGGCTCATTAAACTGCTTTAAAAGAAAAAGAGGTACATTTAAAACCGAAACTGCTTTCACTGTTGAAAAGATGAGAAAAATTTTAAACCCATATTAAAATTTGGGTGAAGAGCTCTTCATAAAAAAAAACACAACTTAATAAATTATAAATGAGTACATTTTATATTTGCAAAGAAATCTAGCTTTTTAACTCTAACTTTTAAATACTTGAGTAACTAAAGCAAATTTGTTTAAACTCCTCAATGTCTGAAAAGCCAGACCTTCTTTTCAAAGCTATTACCCCCCTCCCTTTTATAAATTTTTTTAAAAGTGTGAAAATTTGCTCATTAAACAGTGAATTCTCAACTGTAAGTTGATAATAACAAAGAATTTAAAACAACAACAAAAAGACCCTGAAGCCTGCACTTCGATCGGCTTCAGTTTGACAAGAAGCCTGAGCTTTTACAACAGGTTAATGACACACAAAAGCAGGTTTCAGTTAAGCAACACCCAACTGCAGGGCGACTTGACTCTGTTCTCAGTTCATTTAAACAAATGAGTGCCAGGCCTCTGGACCTCTTAACAAATATTTCCAATATGTGCACAAAAGCTGAAGTAACAGGAAGTCAAGACTTCAGTTTCTTGGCTACAGCAGCTGATATTTCACCCACGTTTGCTGCTGTCAGGACTATTTTCATTAAAACTCTCCCTCCGGATTGTGGCTCAACTTGGAAAAACAAAAAGACTTTTCCACGTTACTCATTTCCTATTGTAACAGAGCCTTTGAAAAGTTTCCCGGTTACGACTGGTTTCCAAACGTCCTGCTCTCTGCTTACACTTTTTAAAAATATGTGGCTGGGGGGAGGGGTGTGGGATCACAGGCCGCCTTCTCTCCATCCACATACAAGGGAATGTTGTTTGGGAAGATGGCCCAGGGCTCCCACCGTCTGTAAAGCAACCCTCTCCTTTCCGAAAGGGAGCTGGGAGCAGTGGTTGGATCCCTAGAAGAGGCAGGAACCTAGACGCAGATTCACATAATCGAAGGAAAAGTTTAAGGCACAATTAGGAAAAGGCAAGCCTAGCCTAACAGACTCCCTGCCCGCCCAGAACAGCTCAGAAGCGACAGGAATCGTACCCCCGCCGAGGAGCAGCCACAGAACAACGTTATCGCAAGAATCCCACGGTCAGGAAGGACGAGCTGAGACTTCGGGGGTTTCCTCAAGGAGCCCCTTTCTGCGTGGCTTAGGGCCTTTGGGGGGCTCTTTTCGGCACCCTCTGCTCTCTAAGACGAGACCCTATGATCACTTTTCAGTCTTCCCAAAGCCCGGGCTCTGCGATGGAGTTGAAGGTGATTTTGTTTTCAAGAAAACTTGAAAACGGACTTTTATAAGACAAACAATAGTCCAAGCCGAGAGGGACCGGGGGGCGGGGGGGGGGGAGATTTCTTCCAGAGTCCTCGCTGGGCGGCTCGGAGCGCGGCCCCCCAGTAGCCGGCGCGGGGTGGCGGGGCCGCGGCGGCCGCGGGGAGGGGGCCCGGGCGGCCGGCTTTTAGCTTTTGTTCGGCGGCTCCCTCCGCCCGCACCGAACTCGGCCCCTCCGACGGCGGCGTGAGCACCACCGGCCCGCGGGGCTCTCGGGTTACAGGAAACCGGAGACGGTGCCGAGAACCTCCACCTTCTGAGGGGGCTGCCCACCCCGGGGGATTTACCCAGAAAACCTAAAAAGGTGAGGCAGCCGGGCCGCGCCCGGCGCAAAGTTTCCCCCACACGCACCTCTCATTGTTTCCAGGAGTCGGCGCTCCGCGGAGGGCCCGGCGCCCCGGGCTGCCGACTCCGAGCCCCCAGTCCTGCGGCCGGCGGGGAAAGGGGGCGACCGGAGGCACCGAGTGCCGCGGAAGGACCGAGGGATAATGGGAGCGGGGGGGGGGGGGGAGGAGGCAAAAGTTGCCGGGGGCGGGGGCGGGTAGGCACCCTAAAGTGCGGGGAATCGGCGAGGGACGCCCGGCGGTACCTGGGCAGGAGAGGGGCGGGGGGCGGGGGGGAGACCCAACGGCCGGCCTGGTGGGGGCGGGGACTCGGGAAGGCTTTGGGGCGCCGGGGGGGGGGGGGGGGTCGGGGAAGCTACAACGCTTCCCCCAGCAGCGCCCGAACAATGCGGGGCGCCCGGCCCCCGCGGAAGCCCAGCTTTGCAGTGGGCTCACCAGCACCACTCCTCACCCTCCCAACACACATACACCCCAACTTATCCCAGGGGGTCCCGGCGCCCGCGGGAGAGTCCCTCCGGGCAGGGTCCAGACCTGTCAGTCCTCCCCGAGTAGACATGGCCTTCCGGGGCGGCCACCCGCGTGCTCCCCGCGCCGTTACGTGGCCAAACTTGTCCGCGCCGAGTTGTCACTGTCCCTGGAGGGGGGTCGCTGGGCGCCGACTCCCAACCGCTACGAAAGCCCGACTCGGACGCGTGCAGCACGAGGTGAGGCGGGTTTCCAAGGCCCCCGGGCCGGCAGCCCGAGCACAGCACCCCGGGGCGGGCCGGGCCGGAGCCGGGCGGGGGGCGGGGGGCGGCGTTCGGCCCGTATTGTTCTAACTGTCCCCGCGGGGCCGCCTGGAAGAATGCGGGGCCGCGGAAACTCCGCGCGCTTCTGCGCCTGCGCGCGGCGCCCCCTCCCCCGCGGCTTCCCCAGCGACTAACTTCTGTTTTGAGCCACTTCGCATAAATCACAACAGAAAAGCCCACGGGGCCCACGACGGAACATTCGGGGTACCCCCGCCCCCCGCCAGGAGCTCAAAAGTTCACTTCGAGAGGGAGCGAACATTTCTGACCTTTCGTGGTGGCAGGCCTTTTTCCCCCCTTCTTCTTTCTCGTGTGTGTTTTGTTTTTAAGCCAGACTGCCGGCAAGTTTTAGTTGTACGGCTTCCAGAACGTTTCGTGGAAACAATGACAGCCTCGCTCTGCACTTACAACCAAGCCTGCTTGTCGGACGCGGGCTCGTCCCGGGGGTGGGGGTGTGGGTGTGGGGTGTGTGTGTGTGTGTGTGTGTGTTGCCTGCCCGCGGCCCTAACTCTCCATCCCGCCCCGCACTCTCCGTGGGAAAACCTGGAGCGGCCGGGAATGTCCCAGACCCGCTTCCCGGCGTTTCCCACCCCCGAGGGCGACCCGGGGGTCGGAGCCGCATTCCTTTTGATTGTGAAAACACCCCCATCCCCCGAGAAGAGAGTGCCCGGGCCCAGCTGGGGGGGACGGGGGGGAGTGGGAACCCCGGAATCCAAGCCCAACTTTCAGACAAAGGCGCGCTCCTGGCTGCCGCCGGTCGCGACGGGGAAAGCGGGGCGCGGGGGGGTACCCCTGGAGTAGGACCCTCAGAACTCCCCGCCCCGGAGAACCCGCGAGAAGCCACGCGGCGACTCGGGAAGCGTGGGGCGTGGGCTGAGACAATGAAAGTTGGAGGCGCACAAACAAGGCGGCGAGCGTGTGTTTTTTTGACAACGTGCCAGCGGCGTGGAGGCCCGTCTCCCCACCACCGCCCCTCGTGCTGTGTCTCGAAGGAGCGCGGCCACTGCCGTTTCAGCCGCGGCCTCAACAAAGGGGCCGGCGCGGTCCCAGCCGGGGAGCGCGGGGCTGGCAAGTCCACAAAGTCACTCTCGCCCCGAGCCCGGCCGGCGCGCACGCTTCCCCGGGACACGCGCCCGCGGGGCGGCAGCCGGCGGAGCCTTACCTTTCTTGCTCTTCATCCTGGAGCTCCCCTTCCAGCGCGGGGCACCGCCGGGGTGTCGGGGGCGCGGGCGGGAGCGGGAGCGCCGGGGGCCAGCGGCTGTCCTCCCCGGAGGGCGCTCCGGGAACTTGCAGGACGAGCTCCAGCAGTGAGTGCGGCCCCGGCGCTCGGATCGCAGGCGCCCGCTTCTTGGGCGGAATTCAAGTGACACTTGGGCTTCCTCCTGCCGGGACCTCCTGGCAGCCGGCCGGGGGCTCTCGCTCGCCCAGCGCGCTCCCCTCCCCACGCCGCTCCTTTGTTCCCCGCTCCCGATCGGCGCACCTCGGCGCTGTCAGAGTGAGAGGCGAGGAGGGGAAGGTACAGGAGGTCCTGCCTCCGCCCCCAGCCGCCCGCCCCGTCCCCCGCCCGCCGCTCCCCGCCCCTCCCCCGCACCTTCCTGCCGGGGAGGGCTGCACGCGGGCCGCGGCCACGCCGCCTCACTCCGCGCCCCCGGGGGCCGCTGTTACCGGTCCCGGGTGGGGGCGGCGGAGCCCAGAAACGCGATCCTTCCTCCCTGCGGCGCGCACGCCTCCCGCATCCCTCGTGGGGCCGCGGCCACCCCAGCCGAGTGCCCCGCGTTTCTCCTTGGGGCCTTTCTTCCCGGGGCAGACGAAGGTGTGTTTGGTTAGGAAGCTGCCACAGATGGAGGTCGGGCCGCCCCCTCCTTCCTCTCCTCGACCCCCGGGAAGAAAAGCACACCTCACCCCCCCTTCGTTTTTGACAGCTGCCCCACACTCCAGTCCCGGCTCGGGCCGCGGGATGAGACGGCCGCTTCTGATTCAAGGGGCGGGGCACCGAGGGAAAGTATTCGGGACAAGAACCAACTTCTTCCCGAACGCGCGGCTGCCATGGGCTCGCGGGCGCGGCGCGGCGCACCCTTCTCCTCCGGGGGCTCTTCCTCCCCCGTCGACCGTGCGGGGCCGAGGGGGGGGGGGGGGGTGAGACACAGACACCCGGGGAGAATGACTGTGCCCCGGGGCTAACGCTGCGAGTTCCGGGCCGGATTGCAAGGCAGTTTCGAAATCGAACACGTTGCGGCGCACACTTGTCATGCTCACATGCTCTTTAAAACTCCGCGCCGCCCGTCCCGCCGCCTCCCGGCCTGCCTCTCCCACGCTCGGACCCGGGCAGCTGCCGCCTGTAGGAAACGGCGGGAACCGCACCGGGGCTGCTCGGTCAAGTCTGTTTCGGTCAAGTCTGCTTTTATGACTTCAGCCCTGCTAGGGGGCCCCTTCTCTCATCGGATATTTCAGACTAGTCATGGAGGGGAAAAACACATGCTCCTGTAGGTTTGTTTTGGTTGAGGAAGACTCCAACAGGAGTCCTTGACGAAAGTACCCTTTTCAAAGACCAGATCCTGTTTGGCTGATTCCAAGAAACGCATACCCCCTCCCCGCCCTCTCCTCCGAGCCGAGTTTCCCCGTGTGTGTCCCGTTGCTTTGAAGTAAACGAACTGTCACAGGCCACAGTGCGACTTTCACCGTCACTTAAAAGAGAAAAAACCCCCAACGTAAATAACCCGGGTGGAGACGTCAGCGCCCGAGCCGGCCTCCAGTTTCGGCTCTGTGCTCTTTTTGTTTTGTAACCTCAATGGAGAACCCGGCAGGACTCGCTCCGTGGAAATAAGGTTAAACCCGAGGAAGAAGGCAGCCAAACGATGACTAACTAGACTTTGGAGCCTCTGTTTTCGGATTAAATTAAAGCCAGCCTCCCACCCACTCACCCCCCCCCCCCCAAAAAAAGACACCCCCGCCAGCAGAGTGAATTGAGGCCAGAGTTTACAAAGCTTGGGTGGTTTTTCCAATTACAGGACTTAAAATGAATAAACAAGGAGGAAAGCGTCACTTTAAGCAGGCAGCGACCTCACGATTTTTTTTTTCCTTCAGTGGTTTGCCGACTGATCAGCACCGAAGAGAACACACTTCTGAAAGGACAAAGCGAATAAACTTGGTCCCGGGGCAAAGCAGCGCCCTGAACGGACCCCTGCAACTTGCTGGGCGCAGCTCCTCCCCGGGACCTGGCTGGAGATGAAGCAGCTGCTGCGCCCGCGAGCGGGACAGATGTGGGGCCGGGCCGGGGCGGGGGCCGCCCGTTGGGGGCCGCTGCGAGCCGGCGTTTGAAGGCTTGTTTGTTGCAGGGATTGGTGGCTCACATCCGCTGGGGACGGGAGGGCGGGAGGAGACGCGGGAGGAGGGGCCCACGCCGCGGCCTGAGTGGCAGCAGCCTTGGCTGGAGGCCGGCGGTTACTGGGGAGACGCTTTGTTTGCTAACTTCGACAGCGGCCTCGGCCACTCGACAAAACACGCCTCCTGGCCGCTGGCAGCAGCTCGCGACAAAAAAGGTTTCCTTCTTCCGCGTGGTTATCCTTGGCCACGCGATGGCTCTCATTCTGTACACAAAGGCACCTTCTCGTCTAAATGAACTTGGCTAATGACGGCGATTCTCTGGCAACTGAGTTGGAAACCGAGAGAGGAAGCGAAGACAAACTTTGGCTAGAAGTTTGGCTAGAAGACAAACTTTAGGGGCAGGGGGAGGGGCGCACGTGATTTCTTTCAAATAGCGAAGAGGAAATAGTGGAACTTTAAACGCTCTCGCTGGAGGTCCGGCTTGATCCGGCCAATGCTCGCCTTTTGCTGGAGCGCATAATATCAAAGCAATTATTAAAGCTGGTGAGACGGTCCGAAGAGGAACCCGGGCACCTGTCGGGGTGAGCACTCCCCTGGTAGAGGTCCCCACCCCCAGGGCTCGTTCCCAAACTTGTTTGGGGCTTTGAAACGTTGGTTCGTTCTGAGAAGTGCCTGGAGTCTGCATAACACAGGCAAGAAAAATCAGCAATTGCTTAGGATATTTTTTGTTAACGGTATTTGCTTTTCCCAAGGTGGAAAAGCAACTTTTAGTTCTGGCTCTGTCAATTCTAGTGCCCACCTAGCGCCTCTCTGTAAAACTGATCCAATGACAGGATTTTTTTCCAGTGCTAAATTTTTTTTTAATTAATAAAAGTATATGGATTTACATGTGCTACATATTATTTGCTGAGTTCATATGAAAGTTAATTAAGTTGGAAAACTGGTGCTCGAGAAGGCTGCTGATAAACGTTTTTCACTATTATTTTTTCCCCTCCAGGCATACTTCGTTCCAATGGGTGTCTTATCTTCTCAAGCTGTCTCAAGGCCAAGAAAAGAAACAGTTGTTAAAGTTACTTTTCACAGCCTGCAAACCCTTCAAAGGCACAAAAGCCAGAAAAATGTATCAATACATCCAGTTATTTTGATGCCAGGTCCAGGAAGTAATTGCAGAATGTATTTCATTAATCTAAACAACCATTGATCAAGCAAGAATTCCATCCGGCCCTGTCCTAGGTGGAGGAACGATGCTCACTCAGCCTTGTATCCATCCCTTTTGCTTCTAATCTCTGGGGGACAGATATTTTTTAAAAACATATATGTAGACTGCTGGGCTCGCACAAGGATTTTATAGTTATCGCTTCACATCTCAGGTGTGGGGGCTGGGACTACTTAAAGAAAGCTGACCATAGTCTTTTCAGGGGCCTGGTGTGGGGCTACAACCCTCTTATGATTTTTATCGACCCCATCAGGATTGTCTCCATCTCTTAATTACATGAATAATGTAATTAGTAATGAATAATGTAATTAGTAGGTAATCACTTTTCTCCTAGCCTGCACTTCTCTTCCCATCCTTTTTCCTCTGTAGCCCAGTCCTCCTTTTCCTTTGCCTAGCGCCTTGGACTCAAGGGGACCGAGTAAAGAGATAATTTGAGTACAGCCTTTGCCCTCTTTTGGCCTCATCATACATCTGTAGTGTGCTTTACAGTCTATGAAACACTTAGGTGGCCTTACTTAATAGTACAGTGAAGTATGTTATTATTTTTCTCTAAAGTCAATATAACTTAACACCCAAATATAACAAAGCTAAAAGGTATAAAACCAAGTGCGGGGCATAAATTGCCTGGCTTTAAGTCAGGTGTTCTCTGTCATTCTTTCTTGGAAGATCCAATAGATGTGGAAGGCAGTATATAAAACAGATTTTAAGCACAGATGATGGTATCAGGGCCTACTGATCATGTGTGGCGATTGCTTCAAAATCTCTTCTTTGAAATCTACCAGTAGTTTTACAAAAGGCTCTCTTCCAACCTAATAGCTTTTTGTGATTTGTGTTCTTTTCTCATTTTTTAAAAAGAAAAAGTGCTAAAAAAATTCAAGCAAGAAACAAGTACACAAAGTTAAATGTGAAAGACCGTAATTACTCTCCACTCTCCAAATGTGCATATGTATACTACACACAAATGTAAGGGATGTCTTCTTACTTCCTCTTTTTAAGTCGACTGGGCCTGGGATGGTCCCAGGAGTCTGTGATATCCTGACCTAAATGTAGGTATCCTCAATGCTACCGTCCACCTCAGCGTCTCAACCACAGTTCTATTAACAATTGGAGCTGGATAATCTTTGTTGTGTATTGTAGAATGTTTAGCAGCATCCTGGCCCTAACCAATACTTGTCAGTAACACCCATCCCCCAAGTTGTCACAAACAAAAAAACAGCCCAGGCATTGCCAGAGGTCCTCCAGAGGGGATGGAAATGGGCTGGGGTGGGGTTGGTGTGGGTGGGGTGAGGATCATCTCTGCTTGAGAACCACAGATCTAGCTCAACCCTTTATTTCTTCCGTAACACCTCACTTTAAGTTACAGTATTTTGCTATTTGACTATTAACTTGTTTATTTTCCTGTGACTCCCACTAAAAAGACTTTCAGATATCATACCAGATGTTAACTTATTCCCTTTTTCCTACTTCCATGAATGTAGTTAATCCATTCACATGTGTCCATTTATCTTCCTAAAGCTATAAAGGACCCATTTATAATGGCAACAAAACGACGAAATATCCAGGAATGAAATTAACAAGAAATAGGTGCAAGTTTTATGAGGAAAACTTTAAAATTCTACGGAGAGACATGAAGGAAGACTTAAGTAAAATAAAAACTATAACATTGTTTTTAGCAAGATTTAGTAGTGAAAGGAGAAGGATGTTTATTTTCCCCCAATCAATCTTTAAATTCAAAGCAATTTCCATTAAAATACCAACAGGATTTTTTTTTTTTTTTGTAATGGCCACAGTTCATAAAAATTAAAGATCTCACAATAGCTGGGGAAATTCTAAAAGAGAAAGTAGGGTGGGGGAGGATAGGGAAAGCCCCTCCAAACATTAAAGTGTGTTTTGACGTTGATAATAATTACAATGTAAAAGTTTTGTACTGAGAATAAAAAGGAAACAAAGAACAATGAGACATTAGAATACAGAGAGAGATGGAGATTTTGGCAAAGGTGGCTTTTCAGATCAGGGATAATTGAATTGGATAATTGACTACTTTTAGTTGAAAATGAAGCTGGATCTCTGTCTCCTTTAACAAAAATAAAATTCATTGAGTTAAAGATTGAAATATTAAAGTAACTTAAAATACACTAAATATGTTCTAGAACAGTGATTTTCCAGAGGGTGTGTATGTGGCGAGTTGGCCTCCCAGGGACATTTGACATTGTTTGGAGACATTTGGTCGTCACTAGATAGGGGGGAAGCCACTGGCCTCTGGAGGATAGAGGCCAGGGATGGCTGCTAAACACGCTGCTACACACAGCACTGACGTCCACAGGAAATTATCCTGTCCAAAAAGTCAGTAGCGTGGGGCATGAATATGATCTTGGAATGGAGAAGACCTTTCCAATCAGGACACAAAATTGAGAAAGAATAAAATATGTAAATGTTTATAAGCATTTTGTTTTTGTTTTGTTGTTTGTTTGTTTTTTTTAACTGTGTTTGAGGGGAAATCCCATAAAATTTTCAAAAGCAAAGTACTTGCAGCACCTGGCAGGCATCATCAGACCAATGTACCTAATATATGAAGAGCTCATAAAAACCATCGGAAAGAATTCTGTTTTAAAAAAGTTGGGCAAAGGAATCCAAATAAACAAAAACGGTTTTTTAAAAATCATAAAAATTGTAATTACAATTAAGTAAATTGGATTGAGCTGGTATGAGAAGGTTAATAATATACTATGTTGATTAGGGCTATATTTTTAAGCAAGGTACAGAAAACTATAGTATTATCCCTTTTGTGTAAAAATTTTTATGCCTATATTTTTTAAAATGATACTCAAGGAAATATTAGCAATGGCTATCTTTGGAGGAAGAGAATGGGGAAGGGAATGGGATTCTGTACATGGTAAGCAGGCTATTTTTTTTTCATCTTCTACTTTTTTTTTTGTACAAGCCTGAACTGAGAGAGAGAGAGAGAGAGAGAGAGAGAGGGCCACTTGAAGTGAAGTTAGTGAAGGCAAGTGTCCAGTCATTGACTGGTACAGAGGGCCTATATCATCATTTTATTTTACCTTCACTTATTTCTTCTTCTGTGCTCTTCCTTTAAGTAGGTCTGAGTTTCTGGCCTACCTAATATTCCCCTCTCTAAAGAACTTCTTTTAACATTTCTTGCAAGGCAGGAAATTTTTAATTACTAAATACAGTGGATTGTAACTATAGATGTAATTTATGTACCAATCCTCAATTATTGTACATTTTAACTTTGGTCTGGTTTGAGTTAGAGAGGATTTTTGCAAATACTCTATGCCCCCTCTCCATAGCAGGGATCTAAAATAGGATGAAGTTGTATATGGGGCCTTTAAAACTGGCTCTGCAGTTCAAGAGTCTTGGGTAGTTAATCATTCGCAAGTGTGAATAAGCCCCAATGACACCCTGGGAGCTCATTATTCATTGCCTTTTACAAAAAATAATAACAAAGGCCATCAAACCATTTACATTGTTGAATTGGATGACCAAATCTGCAAAATTGGAAAGGTTAATTTTGATGCAGGTAATTTTTGCAGACAATTTGGTCAAGCATTACAATACTTAAAAAGAGAGCAAGATGCTTTTCCCAGAATTGAACTAAATGCTATCAACGCATGGATGGAGGCAGCATATCCCCTGAAAGGCAAGGAACATTTAAGTAAAGGCTTTCTCTTCCCCTGGCATATTTTTAAAAGAGAACAATCTGTTATCTCCCAGTGTTTTCATCAGGCGTCCACAGGATGTCATGCAAAAGCCAAAACAATTCTTCCATATTACCTTAAAAGGGAGGAAAACATTCACTTCCAAGTTACTTGGATATACTTTATTTTCAAAACTTAGATACATTTTATTTTCTCTTTCCCACCCATTTTGGAAGCTCGCCTCAGCAACACATTTATGGACTCGATCAGCGGGGCTCCTCCTCAGGGTGAAACATGACTGAATCAGTCCAGACTTCTCTCTCCCCTTTCGTTTGTGCTGGCAACAACTCACATACATGTATACTAGTTCAAAATCAATTTTAGTTTTTTTAAAGTATATTTTTATTGATTTCAAAGAGGAAGGGAGAGGGAGAGAGAGATAGAAACATCAATGATGAATCATTGATTGGCTGCCTCCTGCACACACACACACACACACACCCCCACCCCCCTGGGGATCAAGCCCACAACCCAGGCATGTGCCCTTGACCGGAACCGAACCTGGGACTCTATGGCCTATAGGCAGACAAGACCCTCTCCCCTTCCTTCCTTTCTCTCTCTCTCTCTCTCTCTCTCTCTCTCTCTCTCTCTCTCTCTCTCTTTCTCCCTCTCCTTTTGGATATATTATCCCTCAATGGAAATCACAAATCTGTTATTTGTCCTTAATATTTTGTCCTTCACAAGAATCCCATTTAGTTTTTTAAAAAACTAAACAAAATAACCCTTTGAAAAATGGGGCCTAGATTTCTTGAATTAGGTTAAGTTCACTTTGCTTTCATCTGATAAAATATGCTCATCCTACCAGCTTCTTTAGGGAAAAGAATACAGCAAAAGCCTACACAAACTTCTATTTGATTAGTCACTTGCCACTTCTTATTATTCTGACCAAAAAGTACATTTTCCAAAAGGACTAATGATTCTGTAACCACAGTGCTTTGCCTGTGTCATTATTTCACCGAACCTGGAAGAATTCTTGAGATATCCTCAATCTGAAATACAAGTCCTTCCATGTACCTTTGAAATCCAGTTCACAAAATAACCTTCTGGCTTTTCATTCTAACAGTGTTGTTTAGAAAAAGATTACTCTCTAATATAACTTAAACACACACTTGCTTTTCCTAGTTCTCTCCCACACCCCCCCCCATACATCTTTTATTATTTTGTAAATTGTAATCAAACCATGTTTGTATTTTTAAAAATGCAAAATAGACCTGGCCAGGTGGCTCAGGTGGTTGGAGCATCATCTCATACACCAAAAGGTTGTGGGTTCGATTCCCGGTCAGGTCACATACCTAGGTTGTGTGTGGGATCCCTGGAATCCCTGGTTGGGGCATGTGCAGGAGGCAACCAATTATTCGATGTTTCTCGCTCTCTCTTCTTCTCTGTCTCTCTCTTTCTCTCCCTTCCTCTCTCTATGGAATCAGTAAAAACGTATCCTTAGTGAGGATTTAAAAAAAAAAAAAGCAAATTAAACTTTTATCCAGGAAAAAAGAGTAAATTTTGTTTGCTCATATTCAAGTTGTATAAAGAAGACTTAACTAAGTTACTGTTAAGGAATCCTTATATGCTATCAGGTGAACTATGCTAGAAAAAAAATTTTAAATACTGGACTAGTCATTCCTCACTGATTGAGCTGTAGGTTTCGAATGCCTCACCTCCCCCCTTACGGTCCCTGTTCACACATAGTAGTCAGTCCTAGTTATGGATTGTTCTTGAGAAATAAAGCTGAGAAGTTTTAGAGACGTACAAAGAGAGTTTATACTCTTTCTTTCAGGTTAATGAAATTGAAGGTGTATTTTCTTTTACCTTCTAGATCCACTCCAGACATTATTTGAATGTACACCAAAACAAAACAAAAATAAAATTGTGTATTTCTAGGATTCAGCTTCACCTGTTGCATCACGATTGCCTGTGTGTAGCCCTAAATGTAAACAATGCCCAAGCTAGTGTTGGGGGGTTGTGGCTTCTCACTCTCTTGCAAGTTTTCTGCAGTGAGTTTGGATTCTTTCACTTTCATTATCATGAAAAGCAATAGGTCTTCTTTTTTAAGCTAAAATTAAAGCTGCCTATCCTTGGCACCAGGTTCTAGGTACAATTACTGGTTCTACACATGAACTGGAATAGTAATATTATTCACTTGACAGATATTGACAAATATTCCTGAATGGTTACTATGTGCAAAGCTGTAAGCTGGTTTGTCCGAAAACAAAATAAGTAAGCAATGTAGGTGAATGTGCTAGGAGTTCAAAGGAGGAGAAAAGATGAGTAAAGTGAATTTCAAAAACTGAAGTATGTCGATTTGACAAGGATTTGGAGAAAAGGAGGCTTTTGTTCAAAGCTGGTGAGAGAACTCAACAATGTATATATAAAGTCTCGGAAGCACTCTTTGATCCCCAATCACACTTTTTGGGGATTTATTCTGTAAGCAATAAGGTGAGCCCCCAAATTCAGGGGTCCTGGTAGAACACAAAGTACACTGGGGCGCCCGGCAGCAAGGCAAATATCTTCACTCCTGCAGGAGGCTGCGCACGCCCATGGCCTGGGAGCACCTGCACACTGAGCAGGCTCTGCGTGGCTTTTTAATCCTGACGCACGTGACCTGCCCCTCACTCTTGATTGGAGCTCAGGCGCACAGTCTTTCCCGATTGGCTAATTCAAAGGGAGGGGTTGGCCTTTGCCGGTTCAAGATGGCGACCCCCAGGGGAGCTGCAAGTCACCCAAGCCAACATGGCGGCTGCCACCTCACGTGAGGTAAAATGGTAGCTGCCAAGGTACGCAGTCCAAAATGGCGGCTTCCAAGTCTCGTGAGCCAAAATGGCGGCTTCCAAGTCACGTGAGCCAAATGGCGGCTGTCTACTGGACAGGACACAGGACCGGTCTGTTCTCACGGTCCTAAGGTGCCGTGGTCTAATTTGGTGGATACGGGAGGAGGGAGTCAGAGAAAGCAAACCTCATAGGTACATTAAAGTTACATTGCTAGACTCAGGTGGGGTCGGGCTTTCTTCTGCAGGAAGTGACGACAACTCCACAACACTTTAGGAAGATGAAGTTCGCAGTTTTCTCCAGAACAAATTAGAGGCAGAGTCCGGGTAATGGGGTTTTACAGAACAAAGGGCCTGAAACCTCACTGCGGCTGTGAAAACGGAAGGGATGCTTTCGCTTGGTCCTGTACCTTTCTGAAATAAGAGGAGATCTACCCGGTCCTTGATATTTGACACCGAACAGGCAATTACTGCCAACAAAGCATAGAAAACACTTTACCATTGTTTATACTATTAAAAACAGTGAGCAACCCAGCTGAGAGCAGGACCCGCCCCGCGCCAGGCTGGGCCAGGCGAGGCTGCCTGAGTCAGCCGATTCCTTTGCTCCTTCTTCCTGTTCACGCTGCGGAGGTCACAGGGCGCAGGGGTCACGGGGCGCAGAGGTCACGGGCACGGAGGTCAGGGGGAAAGTTTACCGATGCCTGTTTCACAGTGTCACCCGCGCCCTTGGGAAGTGCTACCCTGCCAACAGGCTGCTGACCAGTGACCCTCGTGACTAAGTTGCCCCCCAGCCAGCTTGTCGCCATCGTGTAATCAGGCTGCTGTGAGGAGGCCGCTCCCCGCGTTCTTGTGGACTGAGCCTGCAGCTGTAGTCAGTCCTGGGGAGGAGGGCCGGCGGTGTGGGGTGACGGGTAAATCTGGGCCTGGCAGCCCTCACTCACTCTGTGAAGTGAAGGCTTCACACACAACGTGAAGACGACTATTGC